ATTGTTCCTGTGCTTGTCGAAGACACAAGCTAAAGTGCAATGAAAAGTTATCCAAACCGCTCTAGAACATAGTTTTTACTGCTCTCAATGATCTGTGCAGACCAAGACTCTGCTTGTCCCAACTGCAGACATGGTGCAGAATGCCACCCGCTCATGCAGTCCTGAAACAAAGGTATGTGTAGGTATACTCCGCAACAACTTTTCTTGGCAATGCAGTGGAACGTACGTCCCGCGTCCCCTCTCCCATTTTAAGTGTACGCAGGCTCTCCTCCTCCCCCATTTCCGGGGAGAGGGGGAGAGCCTGCGTACATTTCCGGGGAGAGGGGGAGAGCCTGCGTACACTCAAAATGGGAGAGGGGACGCGGGACGTACCTTCCACTGCATTGCCAAGAAAAGTTGTCGCGGAGTATAGGCCTACTGGCAGTGATGGAGACTGGGATGCTGTTCCCTCCTGGTTCGTGGGCAATTATCGAGACGGCTCACGGTGCCCTCCTTGAGTTCTTCGATGACACCGGGCTCGCCGTGAGGCTTTGAGCGGAGGAAGTGGACCGTCTCTGGCCCTTGCCTGCGGCTTGAAGACAACCACCATTGGAATATTGTGGTAGGCCTCAGGCAGTTGACTCGAGTCTCGTATATGAAAGTTGTAAATAAATGACCAAAAAAATGCATTTTTCTTTTTTTTTTTTTTGCTTGACTTGTGTGTTGTTTGCATTCAAGCGGAATTTAAGCAAAAGAAGCGTGGCTTATACACGATATATCACGGTTTCATTTTTTAATGTGACATTGCACTCCTTTTTAAAAGATAACCCACAAAAGTTTGGGGCATATTTAAGCTAAGAAATGCAAATCGGTGACTGCAATCAAGCTTGACGATTAGATATTAGACAACACCGAGGAAATACCGAACGTGTTTAACAAGTTTTTCTCGTCGGTGTACACGAACAACAACTCTCAGTTGCCATGGCGCAGCGGGAAGCATATAATAACTCCAGACATAGAGTCTAAAGTGGGACGTTTCGTTTACCTGCTTCGGCACAACACCAAGAAGTCCTGCGGGCCAGATGAGATAGCAGACATTTTTTCTCGGCAGATATGTTGAATGGTGCTTCGAATTTTTATGTCATTTACACACGCAGTCTTGATGCTGTAGTGGTACCCATTGAGTGGAAGAATGCCAGGGTTGTTCCAATTCACAAATCTGGCGATGTCTCGGATGTGATAAAATCACAGGCCAATCTCCGTTGCGTTCAAGTCGCAAAGTTATTGAATGTTTCTTATGCATCCACCTAACAGTCTGTTTTTGCAGGGAGCAACACTGCTTTAAACACGGCCCGTTGACAGTTGCACAACTCTTACATACAGTCCATGTCTGGTCAAAAATTTGACAAAAGTGCCATTCAAATTAAGTGGCTTATACTTACACTGAATGAATTGAAAACATAGCAGCACAGGCAAAATTTTTAACTTTGTTTGAATTAAGCAGAACTATGAAATATCTAAGTTCATTTCTTGCTAGCCTACTGTATAAAAGTTGGCTCTTGGTAAAAGCACTGCCATAATGTGGTTGATCCAAAAAATAGGACTAAAGTGTGTCGCTATTGTATTCCTAAACACAAATCTGTTGCAATGGGCCCTTTTGCAAATGCTGACCTCAAGGTTCCACACATTCTTTGTGTACACTGCATGAGGGTTTTTGCGTTACTTTGTAAAAGGGCGTATTACAGCCCCAGATGTAATTGCAGTGTCATGGGTGGTATACACAAAAGAACATTGCTTTGACATTTTTGGAGACTTGCTTGGCTATGTCCAGTAAATTTTTGATTAAATATTTTTTCTGCAACAAATTTGTAGGAGCTTTTTTTTTTATATAGATATTTGTAAGAATATGTTACCAGAAAATGTTACACTGAGTAGAGTCCCTGTTTGTTTAGGGATTTCACTTTCCGTCTGGAAAGTGAAATTTATGTTTTTATTGTTTTGTTTACAGATAAATTGTTTTCATACAGTTGTCAAACTTTAATACATTCTCAACTGTACTTTGCTTTTTGTTAAAGAATGCTGCCAAATGTAAAAGCTGCTATTAAAGTGTGCATGAAAATAGTATGACAAGTAAAAGAGAATTCAGTATTTGTACCGTGAGAGCCGATTAAACTCTAACCCCACCCCAACCCCATTTAAAAATTATGATTTTCTCAAATCAAGAGCACGAAGCAGAAGGCAAACTTGAATGTCCACTACAGAGTCTGGCCATATGAATACTGGTCCTGTTGATTTTACTTGGGACTGTTGTTTTCTGAGCACTCCTGTTACCGATTCTCTTGCTGCAATATGCCTTTGATGTCCATTTCATTCTGCCATGTTTGGTGTGCTAAAAAGCGGTCAAATGCTCGCCTCACATGAGCGACAGTATACATTCGCAATTTATTCTCTTCTCAACTTTGTAGGTCGGCTCTTGGCAACCATTGCAAGATGCGGCATATGGCACATTCTGGGTTTGCAGAGAGGCTTCTTCCCACTGGCCAACCCAAGTTTTTGGAGCATGCATTCTTTGTGCAGTGTTCTTGCTTATACCAGTCCAGTGTCATTGAATCGAAATGAGTGTTTCCTATTCAAATGGATCCCAATTATTTAGATGAGCACAAGCAGTCAACCTATGTGATCGCAGTCACTGCCTCTTCATTTGTCCAAAGGAAACCAATGTGATTTAGTTGTCTTGCACCGCTTGCTCGTGCGTTGTGATTTAGACAAGATGTCTGCAGTTGTGGTTTTTTTTAACCATATTCTTTCACTGGAAGCGGTGCACTCAAGTGCGTGATTTTTCGTTGATTTACAGTGACATTGACTCTACAGTTTAATTTTCTAGAGCATTATTACGACAGACAGACATCACTATATTGTTCCTCCACAATACCATAGCATTCACTGCAGCCTTATATTTGATGGCAGCTCCGAGGCCCAGAAATTTGGCTCGCTTATTGTTGCTTACGGCTATTAAAATGTGAGATGAGCTGATTCAACAAAAGATAAAGTGCACATCAAAATTTTATGCATGAATGGACTATGCTCATCACCTTTTTATTAACTTAAAGTGTGATATCACATAAATGTAGTAAAAACAGTATTTCTTAATACTTTAAGGCAGGGGTTGGATTTTGAGGCTAACTTTTTACGTACCAGAGACTAATGAAATTTGCATCATCTTTCTACTTTGTTAAGAAGGTAAACTTTACATAGTTTGAAGCTTTTTTGATCATTAGTTAGTAAGTTAGAAGATTTTGCATGTTGATGGTTTGTGCAAGACCCTCAGACCTAAGAACACACTGTATTATTATAGAACTTTGCATATAATGCCCCTCATATCTCCAGGGGGTGAAACTACTGGATTATTCTTTTTGTTGCATTAAAAACATTTTTTTAAACGAAATAGTTTTGTGCTATTTGTTGCTTAATGTTCAGAAAAGTTCTATGTCACTGTTGCAAAAGCTACAGGTCAGATATAGGAAACCTAATAGTTTCACACTCTACATTTGTTATTTAGGAATGTAATACAGCAAGCAGAAGTGAAATGGGATGAGTAGCTTTCAAGATATCCCCTGCACAGGCAAGCCAGATGACAAAATACATTATAAGAAAATCGAGAAAGAAGTTAAAAGATGGCAGCCTAGCCTCACATCAAGTAGCACTGCCTTAAAATTTACCGTAGGAGTCCAGGAGACATATTTATGTGAAGAAACATTAAAAATAATTTAAGTACAATAACAAAAAGAAAATAAAAAGCTTGGAACAGATTTGGTTTTTGAGAAACCTCGGCCAGTAAAAATCAGAAACAATTCCTCATTGCATGAGGAAACGAGAATAGAAAATAGACAAGTCATGATTAAATCTTTTTGATAGCTTCAAAAACACCATGACACATCTCTCACAAATAAAATAAACAGTGATTTGAAAATATTTTTAAAATGTAATCAATATTTTTTAATGTTCATTAATATTTTATTTTAATTGTACCTCAAAGGAAAAATGAATGGATTTTAGCTTTTTGTGACATGTTATAGGTGGTATTCACTGAGCCTGCAGGTTCGATTTTGCCAGGGAGCGCCACCGTCGATCCGCCATCTTCGAGGTCGCGGTTTGACTGGCTTGGGTACGCTACGCGGTCGTCCGCTGCTAGTGTGTGCTAATTTCATATCGTTGAAGCTTCGTTGAACAGAAGAGAGAAGAAAAGTTGATCTCGGGGGCGGGCCGTTTTCCTTGTTGCTGCCGAGTACCGTGTGTAAAGACTGAACCGCATGTAAGCAATTTGGCGAGCGACGGGACGAGACGAGCGACAGCGACGAAGACCCGCTTCGCTGTCGCTTGTCTTCCCGCTCGCCAAATCGCTTACATGCGGTTTTTAAATCGCTTGGGCTAATGAAAAATGCGTCGCATTTTTCATAAGCTGCGCACTCTGTGAGCCGCACGGTATGTTTCTGCACAGGAACGAACACTGAAGGCACGACGTACACGACACAGCGGCGATGGAGCAACACGGTTACACGGCCGTAGTACAAAAAATCCGCTAGAGAAAAACAATAAAGAAACTAGCAAAACAAAACAAAGAAATCACACCGTGCTACAAAAGCACCAAAGTAAAAAAATTAGTTCTTGCAAGAGCTACCGCCGTCGGCACGGCGGGCGACACGGAGCGCTTCATGGAGCCGAGGGAGCAACGCGGCCGCGGTAAACGAGTCCGATAGCGACAAAAACGAACTAAAGCACACAGAAAATACTCTCACGGCGCTTCAAAAGCACCAAAGTATAAAAATAACCCCTAGTTTCGGTCGAAAAGGCCCTTTAAAGTTGTAAAATACTGCTAAACCACGCTCAAAAGGTCCGGCCAGATGGCATTCGCGCTAGCAAGAGACCTCGAAGATGGCGACCGTGGTGGGCGATGCCAGCGAACCTAGCGAGTGACGTCAAGTGAATGTCACCTATTGAAAGGTAAATAACAGAATGAGTTTTCATGGTCTGTCGGGCATTTCCCAGTTGTGAAATTCTGATATGTGGTTGCTAAAACCTTCCATTTATATTGAATGTGCATTATTTGACCACACCGGGTTTTTTTTGTTTTTTTTATTGTTTTGCATGAAATCATGTTTTGGTGAAGACAAGCGAGATTTTATTGTGATAGGGTTGCTCATGGAACACCGCTCTTTATGACCGTAGTTCCAACTGCTTTGAAATGTATTTTTAGTACAACCTCTTGCAATCGTGTATTTTCAAAATTCTGGCAAAAAAGCTCCGACTAGCGACAGCAAAATCGCCAAGAAACACAAAAGCCCTTCGCAAGCGAGCAACAGCATCACACAGGCGCGAGCTGACGACACGCGAGGTGGAAAGAGAGCAGGCGAGGAGGAAAGCATGCAAGGAGGCTCACACATTGCCCCAGACAGCAGGAATGCGTGGCGCAGTCGCACAGTTGCCCAGGCAACTGAACCCAAGACCTGTGGGAGCTCATGCTCGGATCACGTCCTCAATGGAGCCAGTGAGCGTGACCGCAGCGCCTTCCGGATTTCGACCTTTTGTGCACCTTCCGATGGCGCTACAGAAACGTCCTCATCGGCATTTGAGAGGGAAGAAAATGGCATTTCGAACGCACCCGAGATTGCCAAAGCTCGGCCGCTTTGTGTGCAATATAAAATTCTTCAGCATTATTACGTCTCCTGTCACGTTTCCGGCGGTTTTCCAAGCACAATTATTAATTTGTTGCTAATTTTGCATCAATTAGGAACCCAGTAAAGAAATTTTACTGGCGCCATTTGCACCAAAATTTCTTGTTCCGCTTTACGACTTCCTTTTCCCATCCCGAATGTTTAAAAAAAATGTTTTTTTCCTTCGCATTTGTCCTACGAACAATTGCCGGCACGCTTGCTTGTGTGTGCTACTTTCTGCTAAAGGCAGTGCAGATTGACCAGGCTTGCCTAATGCTTGCTGGTTGGCCTTGGACTTTCTTTGTCATTGACTCTCCTTGTCTTGTTTCTCGGGTGCCGGCCGAAGGAGCCTTCCGGGACGATGGGGACAGCGAGAGCGACTCCTCTTCCCCAAGAAGCGAACTGGTTGAGTCACAACCCACGACGCGGATACGGTATGAGGGCATGTATTGCTGCAAGTTCTGCCCTTACTCCAGTCATAATCTATGTCATGTAAACCAGCACGAAAGGACGCACACAGGAGAGAAGCCTTTCTGCTGCTCTGTCTGCAAGAAAGCGTTTGCTGAAATTGGTAACTTACGGATTCACATGAGGACCCACACAGGGGAGAAACCATTCAGTTGCGAGGTTTGCCAGAAGGCGTTCGCCAGAAGTCATGTCCTGGCGACTCATAAAAGAGTACATACGGGTGAAAGACCATACAAGTGTGGCACGTGTGAGAGAGTATTTTCGAAAAGAGATCACTTGTTATGTCATGAGAAAACCCACAGTGGGGAGCGACGTTACAAGTGTGAAGCCTGTGAGAAAGCATTTAAATGCATAGACTATTTAAGTAGGCATAGAAAGAAGTGCACAAGTGAGGAATCTGCGACATCTTAAGGTCATTTGAATGGAAGAGATTTCATGTTTTATTGTGTGCTTCACTGACCGTATGTTGTTTGTTCACCTGAAGTTGAGAATCGGAGACATATTCATTAGTTTTAAACGTTTTGAGTTGCAGTCTGGCAACAGCCACAGTTCTGCTACGTAGAATTTTATATTGTTTTGAATGGCCTTATTATATTTACCTTCTGGATAAATTTTTGTTGTAGGACGTGTGGAGTTACTTTTCACTTCACTTTGAGTGGATGAGGAAACTGAGTAGGTGTCCCTCTGAGCTAAGAGATTTTAAGATGCTCAAGTAGGATGCGATCAATTTCCAACTTTATCTGTGAAAAGTGGAATCTATCTGTTTATCTCTTGTCTTGTTCACAGTGATGTATCACTCTCGTGCAGTTGTCTAGCTCTCATACTTTTACTACTGTATATTGCTTCTTGCATGAAAATGCTGCCAAATGTAGATGCTGCAATTAAAGTGTCCAAGAAAAAAGAATTCAGTATTTGTTCTATAAGAGCCGATTGAAGTATAACCCCACTACAGCCCCTTTTAATTACGATTTCCTTTAATCTAGAGCCTGAAGTAAACGGCAAACTTGATTGTTCTGTACAGGGTTCGGCCATGTCAGTACCGGTCCTGCTCGTTTTACAGAAGACTTTTTTTTTGTGTGTGTTTTTGTTGTTTTTTTGGTTATGACATGCCTTTGGTGTTTGTGTCAGTCTGCCATGTTTAGGGTGTTAAAGGGATACTGAACCGAAATTTCGAGCTCGCAAAACAAGGCTGGACAGATAGGGGGGACACTGCAAAACCCAAAAACATCACTCGTACAGCGATATCTCTAGCGGATTGCTGTATTTTTGGAAAAGAAGTGCGCAATTGAACACGGCCGACGAGAGAACGCGCGTCACGATTCTTATTCTCTCTTCTCCAATTGCTAGCTACGTCCTGTCGAGCTGGTGAACCGAAGCGAGGAGTAGAGAAGCGAGGCTGCTCCCCCTCATTCTCAAATTTTTCTGGAGGACAATTTCGTCAAAGACCTCGCTTGATCGTGCCGTTCTTTTCCAAAAGTATGGCCATCCGTTTGAGACATTGATGTACGAGTGATGTTTGGGAGTTCGTCACATCCCGTTCAATGCTTCTGCGGCCTTATTTTGCAAGATCCGAATTTCGGTTCAGTATTCCTTTAAGAAGCAGTCAAATTCTTATATCGCACTAGCGACAGTATCTTTACAATTTAGTCTCTTCTCAGCCCCCTTCAGGGGGTGCCCACATCTTAGGTGCTCGGTGAGTGGCGCCACCACAGACCCTGAGCCATGTGGGTTCACCCACCCATGCCTTGTTGTGCGTGGCGTAACCTGTGTCCGAGGAAGAGGCGATCCTGGTGGTTAAGCTGAGCCCGGGGCACGTTTGGACCCTTCGGGGCCCTCCGGGTGAGGCAATATACCACTTCGGCCCCTGCTTCTCGTAGACGGGTGTCCTGGCTTGTCCCGACGAGGATGATTCATTCAGTCACCTCTTCTACCCTCTTTTTTCTTCTTTCACTTCTTCATCCACCTCTTTCTGTTTTCTTCTAAGCACTCTTCCTTTTCACTTTCTTGGGCAGCAAGGGTTAACCTTGGGTGGAAACAGGTCCTGCCCCTGCAACCACACTCGGGTATCGTGCCCGGGCAGCACTGGCGTGTAGAGTATTTGTGTCGCCCAAGCCTTCCTTGGACCATGGTGGGCAGTGCACCCGGGCACTGAATCTTCTTCCCATTTATTATGGGTTCTAAACAAAGAAATCTCCTTGATCAGCCTCTGTAAAGGGGCCACACTGGAGCACTATTCTCTGAAAAAACAACTTGCACATCTTCAAAGTTCCTCAAGCAGAGGTGTAGTGTTTCTATTTTCCCAAGGTCGGGGCAAACCTAGAATGCGGTTTGAGAGGGGGGTGACAGTTGCCTCAGAAGTGTGTGAGCATGCCGAAAGTACATCGAGAATGATGCACAGAAGAAATCGGTCCTTCACTGAGCAAGATCTAAAGATTTTATTTCCGCAAGGTGGGTGCATTCTTTATGAAGTAAGGCACATAAATGATATACGAATTCAAATATTATGTTTGTAACATTGAATAAAGAAACAAGATGTAGCAAAAATCTCTAGTGCTTGCCAAATTACAGTTCTCACATCTAATGATATGCTGCAGCTTGTGATTTCATTACATTTGCCTTAGCGCTTTCAGTCACAATAATATGACAGTCAATATATTTATAGACTGTCATGAAAAATATAAATTGTGTTCCCCTTTTATGTGTGTGTTGTCAATATAGTAATTATTTTCTTTTCCTGTTTTCTTTGATATATATATATACTATATAAATATATATATAAATAAAAATGCTCATAAATAGTTGACAAAAAAAAGAAATGAAGCAAAAATGATTAAAACTTTTTGTTTACAGTTTACATGCATAAAAAAATTGAAGAACAAATTGCAGTTTACCGTAGAGGGTAAAATTGTCGCTACTTCACAATGCCTTTTACACGCGCATTGAACAAAGTACAAAATGAGCACAAACATTACAGTTCTTTGTGATACCGCTTTATACATATAGATGAAAACAAATTACGCAAAGGCAAATCTGCAGCGTATTAGAAACGAATGATAAATGAATGCACGATACAGAGAATAGGGTTCATGAATGAACAAACCTTCGGAAAATATCTTTGAGAAGGTGCAATAACTGTTTGCTTAATGAAATCGTTTGCTACAATGTCTAGGTCTGTTAGGTGAGCAACATCCTTGTAGCAATGGAGCAAGGCAGTATGGTTTAGTCTAGCTGTCCCATCGTATAGCGTAGTCAAGTCTTTACTCTCTCGAGGCGTGAGAAAGACCTTTCTGATGTGGAGGAAGTTACAAGAATTGTCGGTGCAGTTTGGAGAAGCTTAACAACCCCTGTAAGAAGAATTCTCGGGGGTTTACTATCCTTTTCCGAAAGAAGGTCTCTTGCGTCTTAAAATGTAACAACCCAGGCGAAAATCAGTCCGCTTCTAGCTGGATTATGGAACTGGAAATGAGGCAGTCCAGCTGGACCCAGCTGGACCCAGTCGGATTCCAGCTCCATAATCCAACTGGAAGTGGACTGATTTTTGCCTGGGAAGGCTCGTGATACGTTGCTTTGATATGTCCATTAACGTGCCTCTGTGAAGTTGGAGGCAGCCCACATCAAGATCCCATTTATAGATTTCACACAGATAGGTGCTGTCGATTTCTCCTCTTAAAGACCGACGACCAGTTCGCGCTTTCCACTTTTCGCCCGCTTCCTCCTCTCCCTCCTACCCTTTCCACCCACGCCCGCCCCTCTTGGTCCCTTCTTTCCATCCTTCGCTTCCCTCGCCCGAAGGCGTGGAGAGGAGGGTCTTCTGCCTTGCAGAATCTCGAGCCTGGTCGTCGGCCTTTAAAAACTTTTCGCAATGCGTCGTGTGGTCCCACATTTCTGGCAGAAACCGCGTTCGCAGGGACGCATGCACCGTGTCAACAACTAAATAGAACCATTGCTTGTAGAAATCTTCCGGGGAATTAAAGTTATGTTGCTTGGGATTCTTCATCATAACGACGTGGTGCTTGCTGTTGTGTCTTCAGAATGCTAGGATCGTAACCTTAATTTTCCCGCTTTACTGGAAACATCGCTCCAAAAACAAGAGTAGTCATCACGGAGTTGACCAGTACTTTCTTTAACCACCTTCACTTTGAGCTCTGCATTACTTATGCTCCTCTTCTGGAGAGTGGTATTTACACTTTCCAATCTATCATATAAAAGAAGACCGTGCATCGCCTAGCAACTAGTCTGGTGGAGTGGCTGGGGTTGTGCAGAGTGGTGCTTTAGTTTCTCTCACAACCTCACTAGAAGTAGTGGCAGTTTGTATTCTTTACTGCCTTATTACACTTGTTTCAGTTTACCTGCCACCAAATATTCCACTTTGATTACATGACCTGCATAGACTGATGACACAGCTTCCGCAGCCTTTTTTAATCTTGGGAGATTTTAACGGCAACCACCCCATGTGGTGTAGTGCTCGCCGAGGTCCCCATGGTGGTGTCATTGAACGATTTTTATTGTCATCCGGCCTTTGCCTTTTAAATGGACAAGAACATACATATTTTAGTGCATCTGATAATACTTTTGCTTCCATCGATTTGTCTCTTTCATCCGCAACTTTACTTTTCTGTTTTTCTTGGAAGGTTCTAGATAATACTTTTGGGAGTGACCCTTTTCCTGCTACTCTAGAAAGTACTGTAGCGCTTTCTTCTCTTCCAACACTTATTCCCAGGTCGAAATTGGACAAAGCTGACTGGGCTCTTTTTGCATTGGAAGCAGTGCTTGAGCCAACTGAACTTTTAGCTATGACCCCTGAAAATGCCCCTCTGCACGTTACTGACCGTATCATAAATGCTGCATCTCTATCCATTTTACAAACATCTGCACCGCACCTAAGGCGATGATGGTAAGAGGACACACGATTTCACAACTCGCCACACCGAGTTTCGCATTTTCGCCACTGCCTCACCGAGCAGCGCACCAGTCACCAGCGAGCCAGGGCGGTCTGTGTGGCGCAGCGCCACACTCCCTGCCGGCGCTGCAGCTGCTTCTGCTTCTCTCGGCACCGAGAATGCTTCCGCATCGATTACTCATAAAAAGTGCTTAGTTGTCTTCCAAATTTTCCTTTTAAAGTGCAGCTCTTAGTCGCCCGTTTCCAGCTTGAGCGGCGTCGCCGTTGGTGTAACCACAGAGTGCATTATGGGAAATGTCCCATAATGCAGCGCGCGGGACTCATGACGTCACATGTGATGCCACGAGGGTCCTGCGCGGTGCGTTATGGGACATTTCCTATGATGCAACGTGTGGGGAGGAGGAGGAGGGAGGAGGACAAGGGGGAGGGGAGGAGGAGTAGCAGGGAGGATGAGGAGGAGGGTATACCATCCCCTCAGTACCCTTCCCTTGTCGTACTCAAGAGCTGCACTCTAACTCAACGTTACAGGGTGTTGTAAACGTCTTTTTTGCCTACGTAAATGGGTACTCAGTTTAAATGCGTTCCCACAGGCTTTACCAGCAGCGTAGACTTTCCATTTTCCCGAGGGGGGGCAGGCTGAGAAGTTCTCCGGGGGGGGGAAGGGAGGGGTAGCATTTCCGCGCAATTTTTTTTACACCGGCAATTATCAGTAGTTTTCTTTAGGGGGTACATTTTACAGTGTCTGTATATCGCCATGTGTCCGTCGCTGCGTGTCAATGTCAATCACTGTGCAAGCGTAGCCGTGTGTTCATCGCCGATACCATGGCGCATGCGCCGGCGAGCACAAATCTGAAAAACAAAATGCTTGTGCCAGCTACAAAGTTGTGGGGGTAGAGCCCAGGCCCCTGTGCTTCTGAAGCAGTAATCCAGTCGGCCACGAGTCTTCTTTTTAATACATGGAGATAAAGCCTGCGGCTGCAGAATATCAGGTCAAATGCTCATTAACAAGGCAAGTAAGGATCATGGCCCGGGGGGGCACAAGCCCCGATGCACCCCCGCAGCCTACGCCTATGGGCTTTACACTTGTAAGGCAGCTCCCCACCGTAAGATATCTTGTATGACACAACAAGTTGGGTCTCTGTGCCAATTCTTTCCCACACGTGCCACAC